CCTCGCGGACCCGCCGTGTCCGCCCGAGCTCAGGCGGCGCCTCGGCCACGTTCTCGCCGCTTCCATAGGCTGAGGCGTGCGTCAATCATAGCTGGCCCTGCCTCCTCCATTAATCTGCCGCTTCTATAGGCTCAGTCACAAGTCAATCCGAGGCGCCCCGCCCCAACGCGCCCCTCAGAGCTCAGGGGGCAGGGCCAGCGGCCGGCCGAGGGATCGCGGACTACAGCTCCCGGCGTGCCTTGCGGGAAGCGGGGCATGATGGGATACAGAGTCGGGCGGGGGAGCACCTGACGGGGGGAGAGGCCCCCGGGATCGGGGACCGGGATCGGGGACCGGGATTGGGGAATATCTGTATGTGCGGGGCACCCAGGTGTCATCCAGGAGGGGAGAACATCCAGATGTGAGCTGAGCAGCCGGACGGTAGGGGCACTCAGATGGGCAGCATCCAGATGTGTGGGGCATGCAAGAAGACGCGCCATCCAGGATTTGGGGTATCAGGTGGGAGAGGTGTACAGGCAGGTGGGTACGAGGGAGGGAGGGCATACAGGTGTCCTCCTCCAGATACGGGGTGGGCGTCCGGAAAGAGGGGCACCCACAATTTGGGGGTATCCAGATGGGTGAGCATCCATTTAATGGCGGGCAGCGGGTTCTTGGGCTGGGAGGGTTGTGCACCCCATGGTTTGTGGGGCACGGGGCAGCCACAGTGACACCCAGCATGTCCCCAGGGAATGGGATGGGGCTGTGGGTGCCAGGCTGAGCCTGTATCCAGGACTCCAGAGGAGTCCCTAGGCAATGGCCTGACATGGCTGAGGAACCACTCCCAACCCAATCCCAGGGGATTCCCAATGGGAAGATGTGGAGGATCCTCTCCCTGCCATCATTGCTGACAAATCCCTGTGCTGAACAAAGCATCCTGCTAATCTTTCCTGGACTGGGCATTTCACCATCAGTGTTCCCAGCCTGGCTGCTTCCCATTTCAGTGATCCATGTTCCCCAGCCCAGTGAGCACCACAGGTGCCCCTCAGCGTGCAAAGATCCTGCGGCTCCCCAACTCCTCAGGGAGCTCCTGGTGGCTGCTCATGCCAGAGAGCCCTGGGGAGGACTAAAGAGCATAGCAGGGTCACTCATGGATGGAGAGGGAGAGGGGATGGAGTGAGGGGCGATGTTTTTATAGAATCACAGAATGGTTTGTGTTGAAGGGGACCTCACAGACCACCCAGTCCCAACTTCTACCATTTCCAGGGACACCTTCCAGTATCCCAGGTTGCTCCCTGTCCAGCCTGGCCTTGGACACTTCCAGGGATCCAGGGGCAGCCACAGCTTCTCTGGGCACCCTGTGCCAGGGCCTGCCCACCCTCCCAGGGAACAATTCCTTCCCAATATCCCATCCAACTCTGTCCTCTGGCAGTGGGAAGCCATTCCCTGTGTCCTGTCCCTCCATCCCTTATCCCAGGTCCCTCTGCAGCTCTCCTGGAGCCCCTTTAGTCCCTGGAAGGGGCTCTGAGGTGTCCCTGGAGCCTTCTCCTCTCCAGGTGAGCACCCCCAGCTCTCCCAGCCTGGCTCCAGAGCAGAGGGGCACCAGCCCTTGGAGCATCTCCGTGGGTTCCCCTGGACTTGTTCCAGAGTCGTTCCCTCCACACTCACAGGGAGGGGGGTCCTATCCCCTCCTCAGTGGTCGCAGTCTGGCTCACTCTCCTCTCCCACAGCCTGAGGGTTTGAGCTCCTGAGCTGCCCTGGAGCCACAAGCTTTGAATCCCTTTGTGGAAGGCTGTTCTGGTGAGAGGTTTGTGTCCTGTGGGCCAAGGGGATCCTCACCCTTAGCTGCTCTGTTTGGTTTCTCCACTGGCAGGGGCCAAACAGAGCCCCTCTGTGCCCTCTCCCAGCTCCCACAGCTGCTGCCAAAGGACAGGGAGAGCCTTGGCAGAGGAAAATGAAATAGCAGCTAAAGCAAACCCAAAGAGCAGATGTCCTCCTGCAGCCACTGCCATTCCTGGCCACTGCATTCCCAGGGTAAAGGGGCTTGGAGGGTAAAGCCTGTGGAGAAACAGCCACACCAGGGCACAGCCTGGTGAGTGGAGCAGGGGGAGAGGGGAGACCTGTGGATGTTTGTTCTCCCCAGGAGAAGAGAAAAGCCTCATTTCTGTACAACAGTCCATTGGATCCAAAGCAATGGAAGTGGACAGGAGGAGAATGGGCAGGAATTTCCTCTATTTTGCTTCTCTTTTCTCATCTTGTGGATTTCAATCCTGCTGCTGCACAGGGCCAGCCAAAGCCCTGTTTATGGCTCACTCATTCCAAGGGACTTCTCTTGTCTTTGGTGGGATGGTGGAAACCAAACAGAGCCCAGATGGGTGAGAATTGTGGCAAGAGGTGGGAGGCAGAGGGAGAGGGGCAATCCTGGCAGAGGGGTGACCTTGGCAGGGGCTTGCTGCAATGTGGGGACTTTGTCACTGCCGTGACAGCTGGGAGAGGGAAAAGGAGAAAGGAAAGGAATTCAAGGGAAAAACTGCTCTGGTGTGAGGAGGGAAGGAGTGGCCAGAAGGGACCCATCATTCCTAGGCCCAGCTTGGGAATCCCAGCAGGCTCCTGCTCAGATTGCTGTGCTGCAGAGGATTGTCCCCCATCCTGCCCCCTCACACTGAACACACCACATGGGCAGGCTCACGGGAAACCAAGGAACCCTCTCTGAATCACAGGAACACCCAGAGCTGGAGGAGCATCACCTCAACCATCTCCCAGGCCTGAGGTGGCATTCATTGGATCCTTCTTGCACAAGCTCTGCGGTTTAGCCTTGGCAGAGCAATTATAGCTGGACAAGTGCTGAAATACCTCTGTGTGTGAGAGCAGAGGCTGAGGAACTGCCCAGCCTGGCCCTGGGATGGGGATGAACAGCCTGCCTGGATCAGCTGAGCCTCCAGCAGCTGCCCTGCCCTGTCCTTGTGCTGCTGACAGCCACACCATGCTCAGCAGCAAGTCAAACTAGAGGGAAGGGCTGGATTTTCCTCCCAACATCTTTATTCTCATGTAATCAAAATCCATTTAAGATCTGATTAAAAGATTGAATTAACCAATAAAACCTATCAGTAGAACAAAGCTCTCCATCCCTAAACTCACACACAAGCACTGGTATGTGCAGCATCCCTCATCCCTGCTGCAAATGGCACTGCTGGCATTGTCACTGTCCTGCTGGCAATGTCACTGTCCTGCTGGCTGCCACTGACCTGCCCAGCACTCCTGCCTGCAGAACTGGAGCTGTGATGAGCCTGAAGCCAGTGTGGTTCCTGAGCTTGTTCCTGGACTGGTGCAAGGGACTGGTCTGTGTTTCACATCACCAGGCTGCGTTTCACATCAGGGCTGCAGTGGGAAGGAAGTCACCTTCAGCTGGGGTTAGTGGTGACATTTAAAACAAACACTGTGTCACTGCTGCGGGAGCACTTTGCTCCTGCTAAACGCCTGGTGCTTCACGTGAGGGAAGGAGAAATGCACAGTGGGTTTTAACTTCCTTGCCAAACCTCACTCACAAACACTCACACACTTTTAATGAAACTCTCAATGAGTCAGTGCTCTTTTATAATACTTTACTTTAACACTGTGAGGAGGATTGATTACAAGAACTGCGAAGTTCTCACGATGCCAGATGTTAAAAAACACAGTGGATGGGAGAGGAGCTGCAGCCTATCCCTGCCCCAAGCTGGGCCTGGGTTCTGCAGCTTCCCCCAAACACCTCCACTGCTCCCAGCCCCAGCACCTGCCTGGGAACACAGGGGGCTGTTCTGTCACCTGCAGCACTCATCAGTGCAGGAGCACGCCTCAGATTTAGCTTGCTGAAATGGTAAATGGAGAGTCTGAGCACTCCTGGTTTGAGGCCCTGGCATGGTTAAGGACTGGAGCCAAAGGTGACAGACTCTTCCAGCAACTCCTAATGCAAAATGGTGAGCCAGAAGCAAAGGTGGTGGGCACTCTGTTCTCATGCAGGAAGGCAGATCAGCTGCCCATGCAGGGCTTGGATTGCTCTGAACGTGTTTATCCTGCACCCAAAGCTCCTGATCCTGCTGGGAAGCCCTGTGGCCTCCTGTCATGTGGAGAATCAGCTGAGATCCAGCCCCATCCCCTGTGTGTGCACAGCACACTCACCCTTGGAGGTGACCACACTCAGGCTGTTCTCTGACACTGCAGACCTGGACACTGCCCAAGCCCCCAGAGCTCCCACTGTGACCTCAGCACAGGCAGAAGTGTGGATGGAGAGAAAGTGCTCTCTGCTCTGGAAAAGGACCAAGGAGCAGGTCAGGGATCTGAGTCAATGCACAGGCATCCCCCTAACCAAGGCTTTAGCCCCCAAAAGGCAAAGGGGCTACTGAGCAGTCCCTGAAGAGGGGGAACAGGAGCAGAGATGACACAGAACTGAAATAATGTTCACATTCACTGAGCCAACCTGAGTTACAGTGTTGCCAATCTCTGCACAACACAAGGACAAGGGACATGAACTGAAACACATCAAACCCTGCCTGAGAGCAGGGAACACCTTTTCACTCTGGGGTGACCAAGGACTGGCACAGGTTGGCCAGGGAGGTGTTGGGAGTTGCCATCCTTGGAGATATCCCAAAGCCATCTGGACACAGTCCTGGGCAACCAGCCTTGGTGGCCCTGTGTGAGCAGGGGCTGGACCAGGCGATCACAGCTTCCACCGGTTTCCTGTGGTGGTGTAACCAGCAGGTCTAAGCATAAAGGGTAAACCACTGAGGATGAGAGTTAAGCAAAAAGATGGTGTTGGAGCAGCAGGAAGAAGCAGCACAGGGCAGAAGGAAAGCAGCTCGTTCTCTGCAGGGTGAAATGCAGATTTTCCTGCCTTACACTACTGAAAATCAACATATGAGTTGTACATTTGTGCAAGAGTCTTTGTGTGGGCCTGAATAGGGCACAGTCCAGCTGCAGCATCAGGGAAAACTCCCAAACCCATAACCAGAGCCTTCAGTGCAGTGTAATTACTGAGGTTTCCTTTCAGCATTGTCACATGCTGTCCTGGTTAGGGGAAGAAAGTATTTCTCCAAGGCAGAATTTCTCTCTAGGATAGACTTTTTCATGCAGCAACTCACATTTTCCTTCACAAACCCCTTGCCTAAGTAAAGAATAAAGCACTGGGAACCAAAAGGTGGGATAAATAATAATAAGGAAATGCAGTATTACAAAAGGTCTGTAAGATCAGAGTCTGACTGATGGCTGGCAAAGCCTGCTTGCTGCCTGCTATAAGGGGTGTGTGGTAGGAATGGGAGATCTGGAATTTTTAACTACTTCTCATCCAAGGGCTGCTCTGGATAATAATGGATCTGAGGATAAATCAGAGACAGAGCCTTACCAGCAGCCTGAGGAAATGCCAGCGCTGGGCCAGTCTGTGCTGCCATGGAAGATGAGGCTGATCCTAACTTCTAATTAGAGAGATGACATAAGGTCAAGTGTTCTTGAGCAGGATGTCTGCTACGTTGTTGTAATGTCTCTGCACAGAGTAGGAAAAGGGTGGGGGAAGCCTCTTTCACAGCAGGGACTGGAAAGGAAGAGGAGAGACGTGGCAAACATCCAGCAGAAGCAACTCAGATGCTCAGATACCATCACAGGCAAGGAGAACACCCAGTGTGAGGAGCAGAGAGGCAGCTCAGGCACCAGCTCTGCGTGACATAGGAGAACTGCACCCACAAGGAGCTGCCACTGCCCAGCTGGGCTGCTCAAGGTTCTCTGTTGCAGAAGACTCAGGATCTCAGGTTTGAGGAGGAGCTTTTCCTCACTTTGGTATTTCCCCAGCCCAGAGTCAGTATCAGCCTTTAGTAAACAAACCCAGCACTGGAACATCTGATACATCTGGCAGGTTCCCAATAGGAAGGTCACAGCTGCTGGTTTTCATGGCTGTGTGCTGTCTCTAGGGCTTTCATGGCATTTGATCCCAAAGGACCAGGATTAGGATGATCATGAACTGTCTGGTCACACAGAAAGATTTTAAAAGGCAGGATATCAGAAACATTATTTTAACGAGACTGAAAATAACAAAGTTTCTCACAGCAGTCAGCAAACTGAACTGTGCAGGAGTGGGAGGAACCAGGGGATATAATTTAGGAGCTCCAGGGGAAAGATGAGAGGGAGGTAAGGTGTAAACCTGCTCTGCTCAGTGCCAGGTGAGGATGTGGCTCATGACTCTGACTTCAGCTGAAATGAAAATGTTATTTAGACCATTCATCCACTAAGTGCATCACAGCCTGCAGTTATTCCCACCTGGAGTGCAGAGAATTACTCAGGCAGTGATAATTCCAAGACAAAAAGATACTGCAAAGGAGTTTTAAGCACAGATCATCAAAGAACAAACCCTCCAGTTTCTGCAGGCAGGGATGTCCCAGCCAGAGCTGCAGTGGCAGCTGGTGAGGGGGGTTTGCCACACTGCCTTTCCCCAGTGACGTGCCCTGGCTCAAGGTGACTGGACATCACCTAGTGCCCATGTACTCACATGTCCCTAAGAAACCTCAAAGGCCTTGAAGCTTTGCCTGCTAAGGAATGTCTGGACAATGCACCTGCCTGCAGTGCTTCCTTTTCTCTATGCCTGTAGAGGCAGTGACTGCACCATGAGGGGCTTTTAGCAGCTCCAGACAACCCAAATGTATCTGGCCAGGGATGTCTTAAAGCAGGAGGGCACAACTCTTTTCTTCTGTGGCAGCTGCCAGCACATGGATGAGACACAGGGCTGGGGTAGGGAGTGCTGCCTGAAGGCTCCTAAAGCCCCAGAGCACCTTGCCCTGCCAACACCCACTGGAATACAGAGGCAACCATCCAGAGAAGGGCTGGCCACTGCAGCCACAGCACTTTCTCCTCTTCCTCCTCCATCCTTGGTTCCTTGGCCAGTCAGAGGAAAAGGGGCAGGATCCAGCACAGCCCTCACCTGCCAGTGCAAAAAGCAGGGTACAGTGACACTGATTCCTTGTTTGAGCTGGGGCAGAGGAACAAGCAGAGCTGGAGAAAGTGTATTTTGGGTAAGGACTGTATTTAAATTTGACACAACCACAGCATGCCCAGTGGGACATCACCCTCCAGTGCACAGGCACCCTTTCCAAGAGAGGGAATAGGAGACACATCAAGATGAGACCAGGGCATGGAAAGCCAAGCACTGATGCACTTTGGAAATGTATCCAAAGCAAAAAACTGCCCTAAGAGAAATCACAGAATCATGATACAACAGTCTGTGCTTCTGGGCCTTCAGCCTAGCTCTTTCAACACCTTCTCTGGTGCTGCAGTGAGGGTGAGTGCAAACCCTCCTCAAAAGAAATGAATAAATATCCCATGAACTCAGACACCCAGCTGTTCAGTTTTCAGTGTAGGACTCCATGAGCTGTTTCTCCACATGGTTTTTGGCTTGAAGGCTGAAGCATAAAAGGTCCAAAACATGCTCTGCCTGAAGGCACCACAGCATTGTGGCTGCAAACCACCTGTGAGGCTGCTTTGCTATGGCCCGGTGATCTGACGTGGAGGGAAAAATTCATCACCAAATCATTTGGGAGCTGCTTCCTCCATGACACTGAGCATCGGTTTCATGAGGCACTGACGGATTTCACCTTTTGCTTCCAAAAAAAATCATTAGCATAATATACAGACACAGTGTAGGGGAAGAGAAAGTTGAAAAATAATGTTTAAAAATACTTGCCTTTAAAAAATCAGCCCTTTCTATGTTACCAAAATCTATTTAAAGGATGGAGCAGTTGCTGGCTCTGAGCAGCCTTTGGTCCCAAAGCATTAGGAGTCAGTATGTTTTTCAGGTCAAGTTCCTAAGTTCCTCCACTGTCTTTAGTTCTGCTTGTCTCCTTTGTGTTTCCAAGGGTAGATGAGCTCTCCAAGGAAGAGTTTCTTGCAGAGAGATGCCCAGGAGTCCCTGGGATAGCAGCTGTAGGTGGGCAGTCTGTACGTCTGGATCACAGCTCCGTAGGAGAGCGGGTTGATCTGTGTGGAGAAAGAGGGACAATAGCGAGGGAAGCACCAGTCCTGCTCCTCACACGGCATCAGAATCCCTCCCTGGCTTGCTAAGGCTGTTTATCCTTCTCCAACATC